TGCTGCTCAGACTGGGATACTGCGGCCTCCAGCTTGGAATTCTGGTACAGAAGAGAACAAGATGGGTTATGGTTCCTGGGTCTCTCTTTCCATTTCCTGGATTTGCTGAATTTCTACCACCCAACTGGGAGTAAACCTCCCAGGATATTCCATTCTCTCCTTCCTCTATTGGGTTTCTCTGAGTGGACACAACAAGAGAGTCTACTCATGTGTACAGGCTGGGAATGAATGGGGAGATTGTTGTACAGGAACTAACTGATTGGCCCAGGGAAGGCCTTCATCATCTCTGGTCTTGGACACAGGCTGACCCATACCTGGCCCTTGGCGTTCTCCACCTCAGCTGTTAGCCTCTGGACCTTGCGGTTGAGCCCGTTGATCTCCTCCTTGGTGCGGCGAAGAGTCTCCCCGTGCCGGGTCACTGTGGCCTTCATCTCCTCGCACTGCGGGGGAAAACAGGGAAGCCCATCAGGATAGCAGGAATGATGGTGCAGATTGTCTAGTGCTCAGCTTGCACAGCCTCACCTGTCCCACCCCAATGAGAGCTGTGTGCTTTCCCCTTATATGTCCCTAGGGAAGGACCCCCCCCCACACACACACACTGTCTAGTGCATCAGAATCCCCAGTCAAAAGAAGACTTTTCTACTCTAGGCATCTTGTCACTGCCCTGTCTAGGAGGCAAGTTCCATCAATTAGTCACCTTGCTGCGGTACCAGGACTCAGCCTCAGTCCTGCTTCGGCTAGCGATGTCATCATACTGAGCCTTGATCTCGGCGATGATGCAGTCCATGTTCAGGTCTCGGCTATTGTCCATTTGGACCACAACTGAGGTGTCTGAAATGTGGGAGTGGAGAACCCGGATCTCCTACAGGGATTGGGGTAGAGGATATGAGATAGCAGAAACTTTAAAACATAGTCCCACCCACCACAGACTGACTCAATCTTCACAGCACTCCTGGTTTCCAGTATCTGCCCAGGCTTTAGTTTCATGGACTGCAGCTCCCAGCCAAATCCCTGTCTGACACCTCAACTCTAGGCTTGAGTCCTTCTTTCGTAGACTGGCTTCAAAGGTTTCTGTTTCTGGCCCCTTACCTCCTCATACAGATGTCTCAGGAAGTCAATCTCCTGGGTCAGAGACTCCACATTGGCCTCCAGATCTGACTTGCGAAGATAGGCGCAATCCACCTCCTGCAAAAGAACGAGACATGATAGGCTCTTGGGGTCCATTGCAGCTTTGGAACGCCATTTTTTCCATTCCCCTGACTCTAGACAGGATTTACCTTGACCATCCTAGACAACCGTGAGTCCCACTGTCCTGACCAACCCTGGCCCCATGCACCCATTCATTTCATCTTAACATCAAAGACAGCACCTCCTGATACATGAGTCCTCCACTTTGATATGACCAAATCCCTTTTTATGGATCTGGGAGTCAGAAAAGAAAAAAAATCTATTTCCCCTAAATTCTCCCTGTCTCCAAATTGTTTCAGTCAGTCCTCTTTGGTGTCACCAGGATCTTCTATTATACATTGACGGACTGCATAAGAGTCATGTGTTATGAAACAGCCCCCATGTTTATCTGAATTTGCTTATCCTTTGCCTTCCAAGGTCTCTGGGGCTCTCTGACACCTATTTTTGGTTCAAAGCCAAGTCAATCCTTTCTCAACTCATTATAAGCCTGCCCTTGTAATAGCCTCTCTTCCTCCTATGTTGCCCCTCACTCTTTTTTTTTTTATTGCCCCTCACTCTTGTCAAGCCTTCTCCTCACACCACAGAAGACTTGTTCTCGGACTCCCCTTCTCTCACTACTTCTGGCTTTGTGATTAGCTCTACAGGTCTGTGTTGTGGGTCCCTGAGCCGGTGTCCCCATCAGCCTGGGTGCCTCTGAGGGCAATCTCTTTGGGTTCTTTCCATACTCATAGAGCCCCACCTGGCCTCCCGACACAGAATCAACAGATGGACACCCACCTTCTTCAGAGCCACAAATTGATTCTCTGCTGAAGCCCTCAGAGCCACTTCCTCCTCGTACCTGACATGGGGGAAGAGAAGAAGAAAGCATTAGGTTTGTCTCATTTCTCTAGATAAGCCTTCTGAAGACACAAGGGTGGGATGTGAGTGAGATTCCTTCTCCTGAGTAGATTGGGTTCTGCTTTAAGAGGGTTTCCCACCTTGCTTCTTCTCCTTGGAAGGAGGACCAAAGAGCATTCTTCCCAGCACCAGGTAAATCCTCCACAGCCTTGTGGCTTGACGTTCATGCATGGTATCAACATTCTATTAAATTCTATGTTTCTTGTAGGCCTCATACAGATTACCTGATCCATGAGCACTCGTGCAATATTGCATGTGCTTTGTCAAATCTCTCTAAGGGACAAATCTGTTAGATAGATTCAGATAATTATTACTAGTCCAGTCATTCAAATTTTGCTTTAAACTTCTGAATTCCCCAAACAGAAACCTATGCAGGTGTCGAGGCCAAAGTATTGAATAGTTTTGAGGAAATCTGGGTAATCCAAGTGATATCTTTTCAAACACAAATTCTGTAAATGTCTACCTTCTGAGGAGTTGCCTAAGGAAATTAACAAAACTCTGAGGTTTCAAATCTCCAACTCTATAAACAGCTATTGATCTTCATTCAATCAATGGACAAAAGGTATTTGCAAGTGTGATGTATCTGGCCCAGAGGCTCATTGTCAAAGCAGAACCGCTGACTATTGCACTCACTTCTTCTTGTAGCCCTCCAGCACCTCCTGCACATGGTTGAGCTCTGAGGCCAGTCTCCCGCTGTCGGCCTCCACAGTCTCAGCCTCCCGCCTCAGTGTCTCGATGTAGCCATCAAACAGGGGCTCCAGGTTGCTCTCACAGCACTTTTGGTTCTGGTAGAACTGCCACTTGGTCTCTAGCAGTTTGTTCTGCTGCTCCAGGAAGCGCACCTGCCGTGAGATGGGAAGAAGAGTCAGTTGCCCTGAACAGTTTTCAGAGGTGGGGGTTTGCTGAAGTGCTAGCAACTCAGACCAGTGCTTGGCTCACTGGTAGAGACTGAAAGTGGGTAGAAATTAGTCAGTTAGAAACTGAACATAATCTTGGGTTCTCAAAAAGAATTCAACAAATTATTGAGCAATATCTGATTTTGGATTCAGAAAGCCGCCAATAGGCTATTGGACAACATTTAGATGTTGAGGTCCAAATGATAGTACAGAGCAACTACAGAATGATATTCAAATTTTAAAGTAATGAAGGGAGAACTTATGATTCTGCTTTTTTGAGCGGATTTATCCAGGTACTGAGGTCCTCAGAGATCTGATAACATGGATCTAGAACTATCAGAGCTCTTTTAAGCCAGGAGGAGTCGGGGGTTTGGTTCAAGGTTGATCTTCTCCCTCCGATCAGAAGAAACCCCTTATAGCTGGTGGTAAGCAGGGATAATGTCTCTGGGGACTGTGCAGAAGGAACTCACTATCTTATTGTCTATCCCTTCTACCTTGGGGAATCACAGAGGCAAAACCAGTTTGCTGGAGCTTTGATCCTATCTTTGGGGTTCAGGTGTCCCGTCCTTTTGATATCTCCTCAGATTTAATAGTTCAGGACACATCATGTTCTTAGGTTGATATTTGTATTGGGGGCTTCTTACACTGCCATTTTGTGAGGATGCTGAGTACATAAAGTGACCTTCTCTTTAGATTGGCACCTCTTGTCTCTCCTTGGCTCTGTGTCTCTCATTCATCAGATTGGGTGGTGGGAGGCGGTGAAGTATACTGTGATTCTGTTATATTCTCGGTGTGTTTGTTATTTGACTTATAGTGCTATGTGTAATTACTTCATCTTCTTCTTTGGAATTTCTGGCTCTGTTGTTTTCTTCCATCAAACTAAGAACTCTATGGGCAGTTTCCTGACTCTGAGGTTGTGCCTCAATGTGCAGTCTGAATTCTGAACCTGAGCTGGGGTTCAGGAAGGGTGTGATCAAGGACACCCACCTTGTCAATGAAGGCAGCAAACCTGCTGTTCAGACCCTTGATCTGCTCCTTCTCCTCTTGCTTTACACTCTGCGCGTTGGGGTCCATATTCAGGTTGAGGGGCATGAGCAGGCTCTCGTTGACAGACACGGAGGTGATGCTGGGGTGGCTGGGCCCACACACACCTCCAGAGCGGTAGCCGAAGCTGCGTCCACCAGAGCCAGAGCGGATGGTGCTGCAGGTACTGTGGCTGCTGAAGCTCCCAGAGAGGCCTCGGTAGCAGGAGATACCGCGGTAGGGGGCGGCAGTGATGCAGCAGCGGCCGGGCCGGGGCCCACAGGCCGAGACACAGCTGAAGGCACGGCCACCAAATCCACAGGTCATGGTGCTTCTGTAGGGTTGGGGTGCAGAAGGTAGGATGAAGTTCTGGAGTCCAGGTGGAAACTACAATGTGCTCCTCTGGGCTCCCCAGCCTTATTTATGCTCAGATTGGGAAGGGGCTTGGCTATGCAGATGGAGTTGGGACAATTTGCCACTTTATGGGCTTGGGTAGTTAGCCAGGGTCCAACGCCTCTCCAAAATGTGTTTTAATGGTGGAGTGGCCCGCACCCTCTTCTGTGTCGTAGAGTCCCTGGGTTGTAGAGCTTCTTGGCAAGTTTCATCTTGAAAATGCCTCAGGCACTGGGAAGGCAATGCAGTTGGGGGAGAAGCAAGACTGGAGAGGGAAGGAAAAGGAGTCTGAGGGGTAGGAAAAGGATGGGGGAGAGGGACCTGTGGAAGGTTTGTGTGTGTGTGTGTGTGTGTATACATGTGTAGAGACGTAGGGAAGATTGAGGTCCTAGCAAATACTATTCTGATGTTTCTGTTTCAGTAGTGACAAAGAATACTTCATCAGGGATGCTAAATAACAGTATATCATACTAAAATTCATTGCTGTCAAGTCAATTCCTCTCCGTAGGATAGAACTGCTCCATAGGGTTCCTAAGGTTGTAAATCTTTGTGGAAGCTGACTGCACATCTTTCTGCTGTGGAGTGGCTGGTGGGTTCCAACTGCAGGTGTTTTGGTTAACAGCAGAGTGCTTTAACCACTGCTCCACCAGGGATTTTGTCTATCACTCTAGAAAGTACAGCATGTCAAATTGTCCTAGTTTGGTGATGCTAAATTTGGTCACTTGAATACATTTTTCTCTTTTCAATTAGATAGAACTTTGTAGGGAGTATAAGTCCTTTTATAATAAAAGGGAATTTCCCTTTTATTGCTCATCTACTGTACGTTCTCATTATATGACATTGTTGTTATTAGGTGCCATCGAGTCAGTTCCAATTCATAGCGATCTTATGCATAATAGAATGAAATACTGCCCAGTCCTGTGCCATCCTCACAAAAGTTTTTGTGGTTAATCCATTGCTTCTGCCACCATGTCAATCCATCTCCTTGAGGTTCTCATTTTCACATTACCCATATGAAGTGTGTATCATTGCTCCTGTTTTCAGATGAGAAATCTCATGTTCAGAGAGATTAAATAACTTTCTCAGAGTTCACTATCTGATGCCATGACTTCTCACTATAAACTATGCCAGCCCATGGACTTCCTAATCCTTAGAAAGCTCAACAGCGTAGAGAAGATTGTTCAGGAGGAGGTGTCTGTGCATTTAGGGCTTGCGAGGTGTCAGTAAAGATTTGCACAGAGATGAATGGATTGTAAGAACCAGGAGGAGCCAGTTAGGGATGTGTGTGTTACAAGAGCAATATGAGGCTGTTTGGGGTTGGAGAGGGGAATGGGCTTAATTTGCAGGACCTTGTGGCTTAGAATTAGAGGACGTTTTTGTTATTTGATACGTCTTTGGTGTATTGTAATTACCTTCATAGTTCATATTATATTTTTATCCCTACTCTAGTAGACCATGTTCTACAACATTTATCTCATAAAGTACATAGGTTTGAATGCAATTGAAGAAGATTGTTACTGTTTTTAGTTACTGTTGAGTTCATTGTGACTGATGGTAACCCTGTGTGTGCAGCAGAGTGCTCCATAAGGTTTCCTACTGCTCCCTTTCAGATAAAAAATATCCAGGCCTCTGGGTGGATTTAAATGGCCTAGAGTCTAGTGCTTTACCCTTTGTGCCATCCAGGGCTTCCTTGAAGAGAATAGAGAAGTGAATGAGTAGATTGGCAGCTCCCAGTAGTAGTTGTGATTTAGGGTCTACAGCAGGTAAAACTGGGGGTAGGAAGAAAAGGGTGGGGTTGATGGAAAAAGTAAAGGAACAAAAAGGTGAGTAGAGTCTGGTAGGAGTCATGCCCTATGACAAGGCAGATGTTGGCGTCAGCCATCTGATCATCTAGAGGAGGGTGTGTTTCAGCTGAGTGTCCAGTCTAAGACAGACTTTATGTGTCTGGAGTAGTCAGAGCAGCACTCCTGAGGCTCTTTGTACCCACAGCAGCCATTCCAGGCTCTGCCCACAATTAAGCAGGGGTACTCCAGCAAGTCTGCTGGTGTCTGAGGAGTAAAACTGAGTCAAGGCACCTGCCATACATCCTTTAGCTTTTCTACCAGTGTTGTTGTTAGGTGCCATTTAGATGGTTTTAACTCATAGCAAGCCTGTGTACAACAGAATGAAACACTGCCTGGCCCTGTTCGAGCTTCATAATCCTTGCTATGTTTGTTTGCATTGTTGTTGCCACTGTGTCAGTTCATCTTGTTGAAGGTCTTCCTCTTTTTTCACTGACCTTCTACTTTACTAAGTGAATATGGTGTCCTTCTCCAGGGACTGGTCCATCCTCATACCATGTCCATAGTAATTAAGACAAGTGCCACCATCCTTGCTTCTAAGGAGCTTTATGCTTCTTTCTTGAAGACAGATCTAATCTTCATTACCTATCAGTTTTTAGATGTGTACAGGGTTGATTTCTGGGAGGCAGCTGTGATTTTCTGAAATGAAACACTCAGAAAGCTCAAACCCCAACTCACTGTAGGACCTGTCTAAGTTACTGAGTCTCTCTGGGCTTCAGTTTTTTTGTCTGTAAGACGCATTAAAATTGGGTGGATAAAATCATTGACGGTGTTTTGATAAAATTGCATCATGTTAGGTCTTTGCTTAATCTGAGACTGCTGTGAGCACAGAGATAGAAGATTGTAGCAGAGATCCTTCGCTTAGGCCTTTCTCTGCTTCTAAGACTTTGGTTGTTGTTGTTAAGTGCTGTCGAGTCATTTTGGACCCATAGAGACTCTGTATACGATTTGCAAGGAGCTGCTGTTGAACCTGAACCACTGACCTTGTGGTTCAAATGACTCTGCAGTCCAGTGCATTATCCCACAGCACTATGCCAAGACTTTGGAGACCCTCCCAAGTCCCCAGCCCTGAGATTAACAGAGGCACAGACTAGGTCCAGGGTTGGCTACATTGATTTATTGGAAACTCAGATCAAGACCGGGACTAACAAGGTAGAAGGAAGAGTGAGAAACTAGGGGGCTCTGGCTGTTCGTTCAAGATTGGGTCCTGGTCCTGGTCCTGTGTACCACTGAATGCCCCTCCTGGGGGACCCAGAGACTTTTCTTTGGGATAGTGTTTCCCAGCTTAGGGCAGCAGAGCCAAAGAGGAGGGGATGACACAGAAAAGAGAGGCGGGGAATGGACCTGAAGATATACTAAAGTGCAATGTAAGCAGTTGAGAACTTGCTCCAGTCCCCAGGGTAGGGTGGGGCTGGGTAGAAGAGATGCTTTGGGCCCTGGAACCTAATACCTCAGGGAGCTGGTGGAGTAGGATCCCATGACACTAGAGCTGATGCCACAGGAGTCTACATCGCAGGTGCACCGGCTACCAGAGGTGCTCGAATTAGAAGGACCACAGGGGGCACTCTTCAGGGTGCTCAGGGCCAGGTTCCCACCACAGGGGGCACTGCTGACACTGCTAGTCACTGGCCAAGATCAGGACACACTGAGGTTCCTGCAGACAACTTCTCCCTGGGAACTGCTAACAACTGTGGACCCCAAAGCCTGAGTCAAAATTCTGGAGAACAGATAATCCTGTGTCTCAAATGATTGTCCCTCCCTCCGCAAGATCTGAGCTCTGAGTATTAAAAGTCAGGATCTTCTTTTAATTAACAACTCCAGGTCCATCTAGTCTCAAAGCTGTTGGGTCTTTCCTGGTGTCTGACTCCAAATACTGCCTGCTGTAATGTCACCCCACTCTTAAATTTAGTTCTCAGTGAAACCCTTTCTCCCAGACTCTCACAATAAACCTTTGCACAGGGCCTAAATTACTAATGGACATTCATGGCTCCAATGCCTTCATACAATCTGAAGGTGGAAGAAGAAAAGGTTGACATTAGTGACTTGCCCTGGTTTCCCAGAAGAGTTCCCAGAAGTCTTAGGGGAAGGTGGATCCTTAGTGACCAAGCAGGTAGGAGCAGAGGGTCTGACGGAACAGTCTTTCCACAATGGTAGGGCTTGTGCAAGGGATTGTTGCTGTGGGCTGTCCAGTTTATTCGAAATTAAAGTGATCCTATAGGACACCAGCTGCTCCATGGGAGAAAGATGAGGCTTTCTGTTCCTGTAAAGATTTACAGCCTCGGAAACCCTGTTCAGGGTCGCTATGGGTTGGAACCAACTCAATGGCACATAACAACAACAACAACAACATAAGACAGAGTAGAATTGTCACGTAGACATTCCCGGGGTCCTGTTGTGGCACTGTGGCTTAATGCACTGAACTTCAAAGTCAGTTTGAACTGCAAGATCGGCTCCTAGGAAACCCTATACAGGGTATTATCGGTCGGAAAAAACTCAATGGCATTTAACAACAAAACCAAGAAGTAGACATTCTTAGGTTGCAATTTTTATGGGAACAGATTACCAGATTTTTATTCCAGCAGAGCTGTTGGTGGGTTTGAACTGAAGAACTTTCAGTTAGCAGCAGAGTGCTTAACCATTGCGCCATCAGAGCTCCTTTGTGCAAGAGGTGGGGTGACAACCCTGGGTCAGAAAAGGTTGGGTCCGACTTGCGCTCCTCTCCCTCCAGCAGGCACTGGTAGGTGGCGATCTCGATGTCCAGGCCCAGCTTGGAGTTCATCACCTCCTGGTACTCCTTGAGCAGGCAGGCCATGTCCTGCTTGGCCTTCTGCAGGGCCTCCTCCAGCCCGGCCAGCTTGGAACTGGCATCGCTGAGGACTGCCTCGCTTAGCTTCTGAGACTTGGTCATGGCAGCCTCCAGCTTGGAATTCTGGGGAAGAAGAGAACAAGATGAGTTATGGTTCCTGGGTCTCTCTGTCCATTTCCTGGATTTGCTCAATTTCTACCGCCCAGCTATGAACAAACCTCCCAAAATATGCCTCTCTCTACTTCCTCTCTTGGGTCTTTCTGAGTGGCCACAACCAGAGATGCTAG